AATTTTATATCAGTTACAGTAAACCTTAAATATGCAACTATTATAACACTGCTTTTTTATGCTAAATGTGAGATATGAGAAAGAAATTTGAACAGTATATATTACATTAGTCATTAATATTTGCTTTTATTTAAATATTTAACTAGATTTTGGGCAAAATATAGAAAGAGGTTATAGTAATTTAACTACTGTCACAGTATAATTAAAAAATAGATTATTACTTGAGCTCTGCAGTGGCCTTGGTAGTGTTTGAAAATGGGAAAAAAATCCCTTACTGAATAAAGTACAAAACACTGGTTATAAAGTCCATTATTGTTAAATGTTGATGCTTGAAGGGCCTCTTCTTTGTGAATGTGAGTGTGGCAAATTGCAGAAAAAAATGCTGAAATCTCTTATATAGTTGGTGGGCTTGCGAGTAATACAAATGCAGGGTTTTAAACAGAAATTTTTTAATGTTAAGAAAAAATAGATTATTTCAGTTTTGGTAAATTTCACCCTGCATGAATTCAATTCTTTTATGTTTTAGAATATTTCTGTGATTAAAAAAAAAAAATCTTAAAACTAGTTATATGAAAAAATTTTGCCAGCTTTGGTGCTGGGGATTTTTATCTCTTAAATGCATTTGAAAATGAAATATTCCTTATTGTTGTGAGCAAAACCTTCAAGGCTTGGTATTTAAAGGATTATTTCAAATGGCAAAAGAATATCAACCTTGTAAAACCCTGTTCCTTCTAAATAGTATTTGAAATTTAACTCCTATTTATGATAGATAATGCACCAGTCTAAATGGATAAGCCAGAGTTACACTGTCAGGGAAAAAGTGTTTTAAACATTTAAAGTGGCATTTTAGCCAAGCCATAGATTCTCCTGTGATATAAATCTGTTAGGATGCAGTGTTATTTCTCATTTGTTAGAAAGGTGATTTGTGTCTAAGGTTTTTTGATTTTTTTAAACATCAATTTTAAGTTTTATCCATCAGTTGCATATAATGTACTCACATAATTTTCCTGCTTTTCAATAAAAACTGAGAGCAGTTTTTGAGTCCACATTAGAGCCAAATTGCAGTAATACATATGGCTTTATGTATTACAGCTCTGCCACATGAAAGATGTCTTTTCCTCCAGAGACTTTTAGAAATTCTTGGATTGTTTATAAGCATTTGTCTGTGTCACACTCCACCTAAATCCCATTTGCCCATTCAATATTTTCCTTGCTCGAGTGCTTTGCTGTGCTCTCGGAGGTCTCTGGTGTTGCTGTCGTTCCCTGCCGGCATTGTCTGGTTGCTAATTGCCTGTCAGGGAGCCCTGGGATCCCTGCAGCCCCCGGGGTGGGGTCAGGGTGGATAATCCAATCCCAGGGGAGCTGCTGGCTGTCCCAGCTGGGATCTCAGCTGCCCTGCTCTGGCAGCATCGCCCAGCCCAGCTCTGGGAGCTGGGTCTGCTCAGCTTCACTGCTTTGTGCCTGATGCATGAGAGATTCAGCATTTCACCCAAACACTCCAGCCAAAATCAAAGTTAGATCTCTATGTAACTCAGCAAAATTTGGAGGTGTCACACAGCTCAGTTACTGTGGTTTCATTCATCCTTCAGCAGCTCAGTGTTTCTCTGTGAGGACGTTTTTTCGTCAGAGGCAGTCAAATCACTTTGTGGGTTTGGATAAAACCTGAGCCCAGTGCTGCATTCCTTCAAAAGGCAGAGTAAATGCAGGTATGGAAAGTGATTTTGTCCATGTATTTTTAAAATTGCCTCTTAAATCTGAGTTTGTGTTGTCTGACCTTTTAGCACCAGCATGTTGCACCACTACGTGCATAACAACCCATTTGCAATCTCAAGGAAAAGATTTTCTAGAAAGGCTATGAGTGCTGACAAATAGAGGTGCCATTTAAACCTGAACCAAGGCTTCTGCAGCCCAAGACCATTTTTAGAAATTCCCCTGTAAGCCTGGAGCAGGTGAGGTGTGTCTCAGGAAGCTGACCTGTGCTCTGAGTGCTCTGTTCAGGATGGAGAGATGGGAGATTTCCTCAGGGAAATGTAGGTTCCACCTGCTCTGAAATATTGGGCTATTTTTAAGTTGAAATTTTACCTTCTCTGCATATGGTTAATTTTATCCAAGTAAGATGTTCTTCTCAACAAATGTTAGGGATGTCTGTTTGGCCCCTGGAGGAGCCACGTGCACAGCCTGCCCACACTGAGTGTGTGAGCTGGCTGCTAGTCCACATCGCAGGGGCTTTGTTTTGTCTTCATAAGCATAAAAAGATGTGCTGGACACCTTGGCTTTCTGTAAGACTTCCCTTAAACTTTTCCCAAAACTTTAAACTTTTCACTTTGTTGTGCAAGGAAGACATTTAGATCTAAACTCTCAAATTTCTAGTCTTGACTGAACGGCTCACCAGGGTGCTGTACAGATGCACAGAAATAGGATTTCCATCTTTACACGCAGAGAAATAAATAGGGAGTCAGAGGGTCTTAAAACCTAATTTTAAGACAACTAGCAGTTCTTTTCCTTTTGAGAAGAAATTCTCATGTTTCAATGCAGATGCAAATGCGTTGGGGTGATAGATACCAGGAGACAGGAGCTCTGTGACAAAGGAGCATTAACACGTGAGTTTCACCCCAGAGACTGTGAAGAATTGGTTATGGGCCAGAGAATCTGGGTGTATCACTAATGAATATGTTCCCTATTTACTGATAACCCTGCTTAGCTGTGTGTCTTTGAGCATCGAGAGGTTTCCTTTGCTGTGATCCTGTGCATCGATCACACAGACTAAACCTGGTTGTTGGCAGTGGCATGGCTGGACCTGTGGAAATATGATTAAAATGGTCATTACGCTTTTTCAGCAAAAATCAATCTATGAGAGTAGCAGTTTTTTTAAAAATACAATACCCACCAAGGAATCCCTTTAATCAGAAGGCTTTGAGAGTAGCACGCTGTGGGGTTTATTTGCTTATTTTAGTGCATTTGGCAGAAAAATCAATATCATAGTATAACTCCAATAAAAATCGTGCAATATCTAGTACTTCCCGTAGAAGGAGAGGGAGAGGTGATTCTCAAGTTGAGGCTCCATTCACCTCATCATGTTAATATCTGCCAACCTTCTGCTTAATAAAGCTAAGTGTAAAGCACTTAATCATGCAGAAAGCACTGTATTTAACTCATTTGAAGTTTATTCCTCTCCAAAATGCACCATCCCTTCCGCTGGAGCCACAAATTTTTGTCAATTAAACAGGGATATCAGGACAAGTCTTCTCAGCAGTCAGAAACAGAGAGATTTTAGGATCGTTCGCAGATGGTCAGAGAAACAGAGAGAACATAAATATGTATATATATACATTTATCCAGATACGTATATATGCTGTGCATGAACTCCTACACACAGAAAAATCCCTTTTGGAGGTTTGTACATCCCACTGTCTGCCAGTATTGGAGACATTGCTGAAGTTTTGCCAAATTCACAAAGTTTTCCAAAGTTAGCAAATGCTATAAGAAATCTTAGTTGGGGCTTTATGGTTCCTAAGGTTTTTAGTAGACCTTAGAGTGTAAGTGGGTTTTCCTGTACTTTAACTCATAAAAAATACCATGTTCATTGATACAAACTCCATCACCAAAGGGTGAGTGTCCCGTGGTTGTCAAAGATGTACATGTCCAGGATGCTCAATGTTAGCAGATCAAACTCAGTATTTAGAGGGGCTCATAGAGATTGTATTTGCTCTGTTTGTGCTTCATTGTTGTATAATAAGAAAATAGCTGCAAATGTCTATTTAGACCAAAAATTAGATACAGGGAATAATTGGAAAGTAGTTGATCAAACTATACAACCATACTATATGTGGGTGTTAAATATTTCCTATAGTTGCATAGATATATATATATATATATGTATTTCATAAAAATCAGAAACTACAGCGTAATCTTTGTATCTTTATTCAAGATACTTTACCCACATGGTACAAAAGGTCTCTGCCTCATCGAATCCAAAGTTTATGCTGTGCAAAGGGCAGTAACAGATAGTCAGGAGCTTGCATCTATTTTTTCATGAAATGCAGATATTTTACTTGCATGTGACTGGATATGTAATTTTATTTCTTTAAGTGTAAAATTTAAGGGATCAGATGTCAGAAAATGTAATCACTGAATTTTAAATTACAACTTTAATTCTTTTAAGGAGAGGAGACAGATGTAGCTGTCTTGCTGCATCCACATGTATTGCAAAATACATTTAAATCATGCGCATACAGGGAGACAAATGAGAGAACTCCGCCACCCAAATATTAAATTACATGTTTTGAAGCAAAATAGTGTTTTAAGTGTACATGTGTATAATGCTTTTTGTCACTGGATTGCTCTCCCTGATGCAGTTAGACAGAACCTGTATTTAGTCAGAAATCTTTCAATAGAAAGGGCTACCAGATGGGACCAGTAACAATGCAGAGAGGCATCGAACCACCACAGACATTTGGTGCTTAGAATAATAAAAAGACTATAAAATTAGATTAGTTGAGTCTAATTTGGAATTGGTATATTCCCTATGCACTCTCACAGCTCTTGGGTAGATAAAGCCTGAAGATTTAGTACTGTCAGGACAGAGGACTCCAACTTCCAGTAAAAGAAAAAACGGCATTCTGTGAGGTCACGGAGGGCAGCCCAGTGACCTCCAATGATTTACAGGCCTTTAGCTTAATGAAATTGTTTCAGTGACATGACGGTAAAAGCTCATAATGGATTGGATGCCCTAATGTAATGAAATTACTCCCTTCTGCCTTAAAAAAAAAAAAAAAAAAAAAGGCCAAAAAAAAAAAAAAAAAAGGCGCAATTAATATTTACTGAGACCTGACAGGCTTCAGTGTGCGGGAGCGTGCAGTGCTGTCAGACAGCCGCGAGCAGCCCCGAGCAGCGTGGCAGCTGAGCAGGCGCTGCGAGGGGGTGGAGGGACACCTCGCTGACAGGGAAGCCCCAACCTGGCGCTCCGAGCCAGCCTTCATCCTCTCCCTTCCTTTCTGCAGGCAACTGGACAACAACCAGATCAGCTGCATCGAAGATGGAGCCTTCCGAGCGCTGCGCGACCTGGAGATCCTGTGAGTGGACTTGGTGCCGGGGCGGTGGGGGGTGGCTGTCCCCACAGCGCTGTGTGCTGCAGTGCTGCCGGGGCTGGGGGCTCTGCAGCCTCGCTGCCCACCTCAGCAGGTGCGATCTCAGCCTTCCCCGGGCCGGCAGCGCTGCTAATTAAACCACAATAGGCGCCGTGTGCGCTCTGAGGAGCGCGGAGATCGCTGCCCTGGCTGCTGCCTGGAGCAGATGGGTTCAGCAGCATTCCCGGCGTGTCCGGCGTGTGATCTGCAGCCAGAATCCTGCCCCGATGGCGAGCACAGGATGGGGAACAGGTTCATGGGCAGCAATATTGCGAGATCGGTGACCGCTGCCCTAGACAAAAGCTGTTTCAAAGGTGTTTGGTGTGTAAGAGGGAGGAGAGACGGGCGCTTGGCAGGCTTGTTCAGTGCAGTCATTGGCTTTTGGGGAGGATCCTTCTCTGAGGGCTGAAATAACACCACGTTGTGCTCTTCATGTACCACAAACTTTACACATAGGCTGTTAAAGCTGCAGCACATACTGAATAAAAGGTTTTGACAGTGAAAGCTGACTCTACCAGAGACGCAGCACATTAGATTTGGAGCGCTGTCATTGTAATGTAAATCCAATATTATCCTGAACTTGGTATCTGTGCAGATAATTCGCTTATTACTTATTGCAACTTGTTCACTTAAAGACCTTTTCTAGAATAGGTTTTCACAGTATGAACTGCTGTAAAGCTTTCCCTGTCACCCCAAAGTTAATCCTGCAAAGCTGAGTGTCAGTACTCATGAAAGCACATAATTCTGAGCTGAAATGGAGGGGGGCAGGAAGGACACGCGACCTCTCCAAAATTCAAACCCTCCTCACACACCGTGAGTTAATGTGAGAGCAGCCCTGACCCAGTGCACACCTTCCTACAGCAGGGAAGGCCTGCCCGGCTGCTGCAGAGCTTGCCCTTAAATTACATGGGATGAAACAGCAAATGGTAGGTGGATGAAATAAGCACCTGCCTCAGCCACTGCTGGCATCTGGAGACTCAGCAGAGTCACGACATGTCCCGAGAGGAGGCAGAGCAGCGGGGCTGGATGGGCAGCCCTGTGCCACTCCACGGGGTCTGAACGCTCTGGTGATGCACAGGGCTGTCCCCAAGGGCTGGCTCCAGCTCAGACTGATGCTCCAAGGAGCTCTGCCCTCTGTGCCAGCACAAGCTCAGCTGTCTGAGGGACCTGGTGGTGGCCGTGTCTGTCACAGCCCCTCTGTCCCCCAGGCTGGGACCCTGATGTGGATCAGATAGTATGTGTTGTTCGTATTGAGCTAGCAGAAGGTTTCTGCAGAGTTTCTTACCTGGCAACTTATGTTATCAACAGTATTGTTTGAATTCTATAGTAATAGCACTTTTCAGGAAAAGTAATGTGTTACCACTATAAAATTTTACTTGTCTGTCAGCTTGAAAAGTCTACTGTGTGGTGAGAGAAAAGAAGAAAGGATAAAAATGGAACTCCTCTAAAATTGGCTTTTTTTTTTTTTTTTCCTTTTGATGAACTGATTGTCTGTATCTGCAGAGAGTGAATCAGTCCTCCCCTGACAGCAGACTGTGCTATAACTCTCACTAAATAGGCTGGACAATAAATGGAGCCCTTTTTTGCAATATACTGAGTTCTGCAGGCTCTGCAGAACTTGCTAGGAATGCATTCCTTCTCCCCACGTTCTAGTAAATACTGAATTAGTTTATTTACCTCTCTGTTTTCAGTTGGTTACTTCTATGCTAGTTATTTATGGGTGGGAAAAGATGAGGCAATGAGGATATATAAAATAGATCATAATCAGTTATTTAGTGCATTTTTAATTTTCAGCACAGATACACTGCTACAGGAAAAATAATCTATATTAATTCTAAAAGATGAGAAAACACATTGATAGTATCTATTTCTAAGCTTATTTTTCTTGCAGTCACAAAATGTGTGTTTTATACTTCCAACATAATCTGAATTTTTTCCCATGTTTATCTTCAAAGAAAGTCTGAGAATTTATTTTATCAAAATAAATTTGCTAAATGCCCCAGAGAATATAATATCTTTAGTTGTAAAACAGTCATAAATGTTAAAATTTACAACAATCTGACCCATCAAAGAACATTAACAAATGAAACCAAATTTCAACCTTTCAGACCCACTGTGCATTTTATGCAGATATGTTTTAACATATAATTCGGTATGTAGAAAATATTCAATGATTCTTGCAAAAATAAATCAAATTGCCTCTTTGAACAGTTTGCCAGAGTACCAAATAATGTATTTCTTCTTTATCTTACTGAAATCTTGTGATTTTTTGATAATCAGTGTTTCCATTCTTGTACTTTTCTCCTCACACACGGCCTGAGTACAGAATTCTAAATTTTGTCTATAACTCAGGGCAGAGCCGTGCTCAAAAAACAAACTAAGAATACTTTCTTTAGAAACACGTTGGTTTCTGGATTGCACGTTTCATTCACCTTGAGCTCCTCAAAAAACATGCCTTCAAGGAGCTTGGTGATTCAGTAGCTCTTCAATAGAAAGAAAGGAATTTTTGTGCAGTTATCCTTCAAAATGCAGAGCACGCCGTGACCCGTGTGGCTTATTCCTTCTCACCAACAAGTTGTTTTCAATACTATTCTCGTTTTCTTGTTTTGCGTTATAAATATCCTCCCGTACCAACGAACAGCACAGAGGCAGAGCTGAAAACCAGGCTGAAATTTGTGCCCAAGTTGAGAACTTGGCGTGGTGCAGGGAGCTGGGAACTTCAGCTGCAGCTGGGAGCAGCCCAGGGCACGGAATGCGGCTGCCAACGCCTTGGCGCTCTTGGTCACCTCTGTCCTTAGGAGCCTCTGTGTCCCCGTGACACAAAAAGTGTCACTGGTTTTATGGCCTCACCTACCTAGACCCTAAAGCAGGTGCTGAGCACTACTGCTGATGCTGAGTTTTGGGTTAAAAGATGCAAAAATGTTGAGTATAAAGCACTTTGGTGCCTTCTCTTGATTGTCTTTGCCCATTCAGCAAGTTGAAAATGATGTCTGAGAAATGACCTGCAGAACTGATGGACTTAAACATCCTGTCCTGGTAGTTCTGTGCTGGGGCTGGCTTTTTCATTCTCGTCTCAGATTTTCTGAACAGATTCTCATGAAGGATTTGGTTTATATCTGTTGATAAAATAGGAAATTTTTCTTGTTGACATAATTCCTGTGTCCCCCTTTTTGTAAAGCGTATTTCAATAGGTTTGGTCTTGCATTCCAAGATGCAGAAAAGTGTGTGCAACAACTGAAACAGTGATAAAATGGAAAATGGTCATGTGTTCCTAAATGAGTGGCAAAAGGCATTAACTGTCTTATGACTTGTTAGCATAGAAATGCACAGAAATGTTGAAGAAAATTGGTGGGAAACCTTTGCTAATTAAAGATTTTTTTAGAAGGAGACGGTCTCTGCTCTGCTTAATTTTTACTCAGGTCCTGTGGCAATATCTGGCAATAACACTATTATTGAGAAATATCTGTTACTGTAGCTGAAAGTATGATTAAAGGATATTAAAAAAAACCTCAAGACCAAACGAAAAACCCAGTGTAGTCTTCAAAATGATCAGCCATTATCCCTTGTGGTGTGACAATATGCTGTTCATATACTTTGTAGTCTAGAAATTAGTCCATGATTTCCAAATGCCCAAAATTATTAAGGATATGAGATAAAACATGTCTAGGGTTCAGAATTTCACTTCCAGTCTCTTAGGACACATGAATAAAAGAAATTGATTTTAAGATAGTTCAACAAGCTCAAACTGGATAAACTGGTTATATTGAGTGCCTGAGCATACTATTGTCATTAAACTGGGAGGGCTGAAGCATTTTTCTCAGTAAGAAACAGAACTCAGTTTAGCAAAAAGCCCATTAATTTATTTGTCATTGTTTTTTCTCTCTGGGATAATGGGAAAACTGTGCGGTGGCATGGGAGTTGTTTTGTGTGGACAGCACAGAAAGAATTACAAGTCATTGTTGACAACTTAGGTGGAGTGTTTCCTTTTTTTTTTTTTTATATTGTAAAAGCTGTTTTTCTCCTGCTTTAGAATGATAGCCAGAGGGTCCAGAGCTTGAACACATTCTGTTTGTTGCATAAGATTTTATCATACCAAGAGCTAATCCTAGGAGGTCTGTGGGTAGTATTCTGTTAAAGAAGTCACATGGGTTCTTGCTGTACAGAGCTAGTACAGAATGATTTGGGGGTTTGTTTGTTGTTAGCCACATTATTTGCAGGTCTTTCATATCATATGGCTGAGTTTAAAATGCTCCCTCCTGAGTTTCACCTGTTTTTGGAATGAATGAGAACTGACTGCCATTGAGCCCGTAGCCACACGCACTCAGGGATCCACCAGTCCACTTTGGGTCCCTTAGTGTGAAACATCGTGCCAATTAATCCACAAGTAATGATGAAAAAGTGCAAGTATAGTCATCCAAATATTTGTGACTTCAGTTCCAAATGAGCCCTAAATGTATTATATTAAAAAGATAATTTCTTCTGATTGCAAAATGTAATAAAGGTAAATAAACTTACACCACCTTTCCTTTCCTAAAATCTTAAAGTAATGAGAGAAATTGAAGTCCTTCTGTCTTGTATGCAGAACCTTTTCTTTCCAAATATTTCTGCTACACTCTTCTCCCTGCTCCATGGCAAACCCACAAAACCACTGAGCTGTAAGGGCTGTGCCGATGTTGTTGAGCTCCAGCTCAGCCCCGAGCCGCGTTGGGTGGGACACAGCCGGTCTGTCACACCAGCCTGGCCTGCAGCCCCAGCTCTGGGCATTGTCTGCCACAGCCAGGCTTTGCAAACATTTGACCAGTGGGTAAAAATTTGGATTATTCCAGCCGTCCTTGTTTGGATTCAATATGTTCCTGTTATAAATGATTCTTTGATAAAAGGTTTAGTCTGTGCAATTTCTAATAGAGATGTCGTGGGTGAGTGTGATTATAATGCACACTGCCTTT